ATCACTGTCAAGAGCATCGATGATGTGGAGGAGTTCATTGCAACAGATGTAAAAACACATTTGACACAGAATCTTATACTTAACCATAAATATCTTCTTTTGTTTTATTTATTGATAGCTGATTTCATTTTTTTCTTACAGACTGCTATTGACATCTTGGGCTTTAGTGCTGAAGAGAAGTTAAGCATCTACAAGCTGACTGGTGCTGTGATGCATCATGGCAACATGAAATTCAAGCAGAAGCAGCGTGAAGAGCAGGCTGAACCTGATGGCACCGAGGGTATTGTGAAATATTTCTATAATGGAGAAATGTTTGAAGTATTTGTATTTATTAGGTATTATAATGATTTGTTTTAATCCAACAGTGGCTGACAAGATTGCGTACCTATTGGGCCTGAACTCGGCTGATATGCTGAAAGCTTTGTGCTACCCAAGAGTCAAGGTTGGCAATGAGATGGTGACCAAAGGTCAGACCGTCCCACAGGTAATTTAAAAAAGGGAGACTTGTATAATCATATTATAATTATAAACATTATAGCTGTATTCATATGGTTTTGTATAATTCTAAATTCTTGTTTGCCAGGTCAACAATGCTGTCTCGGCTCTGTGCAAATCTATCTATGAGAAAATGTTCTTGTGGATGGTTATCCGTATCAATGAGATGCTGGACACAAAGCAGCCCAGACAGTTCTTCATTGGAGTGCTGGATATCGCTGGGTTTGAGATCTTTGATGTGAGCACTTGAAACATTTCACCACATTTCTTAAACTTTAAAGACTTTATTGCCATGAAGTTAGACATGTTTGTACTATTACAGTTCAACAGCTTGGAGCAACTCTGCATCAACTTCACCAATGAGAAACTGCAACAGTTTTTCAACCATCACATGTTTGTCCTGGAGCAAGAGGAGTACAAGAAAGAAGGCATTCATTGGGAGTTCATTGACTTTGGTATGGACTTGGCTGCCTGCATTGAGCTTATTGAGAAGGTAAACAGCTGCTAAGGAAGAAATGTACATGTGGGTGCATATGTTACCTCTGTTGAAATTTTAATATGACATGTACCATTTTCTCAGCCAATGGGCATCTTCTCCATCCTTGAAGAGGAGTGCATGTTCCCCAAGGCCTCTGACACAACGTTCAAGAACAAGCTGCACGATCAGCATCTTGGCAAGACCAAAGCATTTGAGAAGCCAAAGCCTGGAAAGGGCAAGGCTGAGGCACACTTCTCCCTGGTTCACTATGCTGGTACAGTGGACTACAATATCACTGGCTGGCTGGACAAGAACAAGGACCCACTGAATGACTCAGTTGTTCAGCTCTACCAGAAGTCTTCAAACAAACTGCTGGGCTTCCTTTACGCAGCCCATGCTGGAGCTGAAGGTAAGAAAAAAAAGTGCTCACAAACTCCCATGTCCAGTACAGATAGCTACAATGTGCATACTGCAGGATAAATTTATACTGTGAAAAATATTTTTTCCAATTCCAATAATGAAATTTACTGTTTATGAAAACAGAGGCTGCTGGTGGTGGTGGCAAGAAAGGTGGTAAGAAGAAGGGTGGTTCCTTCCAGACTGTGTCTGCTCTTTTCAGAGTATGTATAGATTTTGTTTTAGAAAAAAATATTAAATGTTTTTTAATATTTATATTATTAATATATAAAAATATAAAACACCCAGCACGCCCCTGCGGGCGGTTTATCCTTCAAGCTCGGGTCCTCTACCAGAGGCCTGGGAGCTTGAGGGTCCTGCGCAGTATCTTAGCTGTTCCCAGGACTGCGCTCTTCTGGACAGAGATCTCGATGTTATTCCCGGGATCTGCTGGAGCCACTCGCCTAGCTTGGGAGTCACCGCACCTAGTGCGGGCTGGGTTTATCCTTCAAGCTCGGGTCCTCTACCAGAGGCCTGGGAGCTTGAGGGTCCTGCGCAGTATCTTAGCTGTTCCCAGGACTGCGCTCTTCTGGACAGAGATCTCCGATGTTATTCCCGGGATCTGCTGGAGCCACTCGCCTAGCTTGGGAGTCACCGCACCTAGTGCTCCGATTACCACGGGGACCACCGTTACCTTCACCCTCCACATCCTCTCGAGCTCTTCTCTGAGCCCTTGGTATTTCTCCAGCTTCTCGTGTTCCTTCTTCCTGATATTGCTGTCATTCGGAACCTGCTACATCGATCACTACGGCCGTCTTCTTCTGTTTGTCTACCACCACTATGTCCGGTTGGTTAGCCACCACCATTTTGTCCGTCTGTATCTGGAAGTCCCACAGGATCTTAGCTCGGTCATTCTCCACCACCCTTGGGGGCATCTCCCATTTTGACCTCGGGACTTCCAGGTTATACTCGGCACAGATGTTCCTGTACACTATGCCGGCCACTTGGTTATGGCGTTCCATGTATGCCTTGCCTGCTAGCATCTTGCACCCTGCTGTTATGTGCTGGATTGTCTCTGGGGCATCTTTACACAGCCTGCACCTGGGGTCTTGCCTGGTGTGATAGACCCCAGCCTCTATGGATCTTGTACTCAGAGCTTGTTCTTGTGCTGCCATGATTAGTGCCTCTGTGCTGTCTTTCAGTCCAGCTTTGTCCAGCCACTGGTAGGATTTCTGGATATCAGCCACCTCCTCTATCTGCCGGTGGTACATACCGTGCAGGGGCCTGTCCTTCCATGATGGTTCCTCGTCTCCCTCCTCTTTCTTGGGTTTCTGCTGCCTGAGGTATTCACTGAGCACTCGGTCAGTTGGGGCCATCTTCCCAATGTATTCTTGGATGTTCGTTGTCTCATCCTGGACTGTGGTGCTGACACTCACCAGTCCCCGGCCCCCTTCCTTCCGCTTAGCGTACAGCCTCAGGGTGCTGGACTTGGGGTGAAACCCTCCATGCATGGTAAGGAGCTTTCTTGTCTTTATGTCAGTGGCTTCTATCTCCTCCTTTGGCCAGCCTATTACCCCAGCAGGGTACCTGATCACGGGCAGGGCGTACGTGTTGATGGCCCGGATCTTGTTCTTACCATTCAGCTGACTCCTCAGGACTTGCCTGACCCTCTGCAGGTACTTGGTGGTTGCAGCTTTTCTAGCGGCCTCTTCATGGTTCCCATTCGCCTGCGGGATCCCCAGGTACTTGTAACTGTCCTCTATGTCTGCAATGTTGCCTTCTGGTAGTTCAATCCCCTCAGTTCTGACTACCTTCCCTCTCTTTGTTACCATCCGACTACACTTCTCCAGTCCGAACGACATTCCAATGTCATTGCTGTATAGCCTGGTAGTGTGGATCAGTGAATCGATGTCTCGTTCACTCTTGGCATACAGCTTGATGTCATCCATGTACAGGAGGTGGCTGACAACTGCTCCGTTCCGTAGTCGGTATCCGTAGCCAGTCTTGTTAATGATCTCACTGAGGGGGTTCAGGCCTATGCAGAACAGCAGTGGGGACAGAGCATCTCCTTGGTAGATCCCGCACTTGATGGTGACTTGTGCTATGGGCTTGGAGTTGGCCTCTAGTGTTGTACGCCACATCCCCATTGAGTTCCTGATGAAGGCTCTTAGGGTCCCATTGATCTTGTACAATTCTAGGCATTCCAGTATCCAGCTGTGGGGCATTGAGTCATAGGCCTTCTTGTAATCAATCCAGGCAGTGCACAGGTTGGTCAGTCTGGTCTTGCAGTCTCGGCTGACTGTTCTGTCTACCAGTAGCTGGTGTTTTGCAGCCTCTGGTATTCTTGCCAATTCCTTTCTGTGTCCCGCTCATGTATTGACCCATGTGCCTGTTCATCTTAGCCGATATGATGCGTGATCCGGAGTGTCCATGTTAGACTGAGGCTAGGTTCATTTGTGCTGCCAGACGCTCGTGGAGTGCAGTCAGCTTCTTTAGCCAGTAGGCGTGAACCATGTCGGGCCCTGGTGCTGTCCAACTCTTCATACTGGAGACCCTTTCTTGGATATCTGCCACTGTGATGGTTACTGGACCCTGTTCAGGGAGGTCGCTGTGGTCTGCCCTCAGATCCACAGCCACTGAGCATTGCCGTTATGGGTTGCGTCCTTCTCCCATATGCTCTTCCAGTATTGCTCCGTCTCCAGCCTTGGTGGTGCTGTTCTCTTATTAATGTTCCCTTGCCACTGAGAGTACACCTTTGCTGGTTCTGTGGAGAACAGCTGGTTTATTCTCCTGCCTTCTATCTCTCTGGTGTACCTCCTCAAGCGGCTGGCCAAGGCTGTGAGTCTTTGCTTGGCAGTTTCCAAGGCCTCAGGTATGGACAGCTTGCTGTATTTCTTATGCACCTTCTTTGTCGCACCTTTCTGCAACTCCGTTAGTTGGCTAACCTCCCTCCGTGCTACTTTGATCTTGCCCTCTAGCCTCCTTCTCCATGGAGGGTACTGCCCCTTGTGGCTGTTCAACTTGTAGCCAAGCATCTCACTGATCACTGCTGCCGTATTGTAGATCAGCTTGTTAGTGTCGGTAATCGTGGTTGTAGGTATTGTCCGTAGTGCTGCATTAACATCATCTAGCAGACCTTCTGAGGGTACTTCACGTAATCTTGGTAACCGGCTACGGGGGATGCCGGTTGTCAACTTGGTGATGATGATATCTCCCCCCTGACCTGGCGTCCTGACTCCTCCTTGCCGTAGCATTTGTGTTGTACCTCGTCAATCTTAGCTGTGAGAGCAGTCCCTTCTTTCGAATGATGGAACATATATATATATAAGATAGATTGTGATGTAATTAAATGCTAATTTTTAAATAGTATCTAACCTATTATCTAATGATGCTGATCTACAGGAGAATCTGGCCAAGCTGATGACCAACTTAAGAAGCACTCATCCTCACTTTGTCCGTTGCCTGATTCCCAATGAGACAAAGACCCCAGGTACCCCACAGTAATATTAACTGTAAAAATGACAGTAAGAATATAGAAAAGATTTGAAACATTATGCATTTCTGACTCTCAGGCCTTATGGAGAACTTCCTGGTCATCCACCAGCTGAGATGTAACGGTGTACTGGAGGGCATCAGAATCTGCAGAAAGGGTTTCCCCAGCAGAATCCTCTATGGTGACTTCAAGCAGAGGTGAGAGCACATTACAATATTGGAAAGGAAAAATGGTTTCATGGTTGTTGTAAAGGACAAACTTGAATATGATGGAAGAAAAATCTAAGTAACAACTGATGTTCTCTCTTGAAGATACAAAGTGTTGAATGCCAGTGTCATCCCTGAGGGACAGTTCATTGACAACAAGAAAGCTTCAGAGAAGCTGCTTGGCTCCATTGATGTGGATCACACACAATACATGTTTGGGCACACAAAGGTACACTTTGATTATATTATAGACATTAACAAAACACTGTCCATTTGCACTTGTACTTATGTTTTCAATGATTAAATAGGTGTTCTTCAAAGCTGGTCTGCTGGGCACTCTTGAGGAGATGAGAGATGAGAAACTGGCTGAGCTGGTGACCATGACTCAGGCTCTCTGCAGAGGATACGTCATGAGGAAAGAGTTTGTGAAGATGATGGAAAGGAGGTAACATTATCATACTAAACTCTATTGTATTCTCTTTTTTATTTCCTTCCTCATATTAAGATCCTACGACACTAAAAGTAACACTCTCATGTTTGGTTTTTAGAGAATCTATCTACACCATCCAGTACAACATCCGTTCTTTCATGAATGTCAAGAACTGGCCATGGCTGAAAGTATACTTCAAGATCAAGCCTCTTCTGAAGAGTGCTGAGACTGAGAAGGAGTTGCAGAACATGAAGGAGAACTATGAGAAGATGAAGACAGACCTGGCTGCTGCTCTGGCAAGAAGAAGGAACTGGAAGAGAAGATGGTCGGCCTGCTGCAGGAGAAGAATGACCTGCAACTTCAAGTGGCTGCAGTAAGTAGTAGAGAAAATTATATATTACACCTGTAGTTCATGTATATTAAATTTAGATATGAAAAGGCCACATGCTTATTTTATCCTCTGATTATTTATGTGCTAAAACAAAAGTGTAGCTAAAAGTACGATCAAGAAAACACTAGGACAATGTGACTCACAAATAATCTAACTTGTGTGTTCAACATGTATTATAGGAAGTTGACAATCTCTCTGATGCTGAAGAAAGGTGTGAGGGGCTCATTAAGAGCAAGATCCAGCTCGAGGCCAAACTCAAAGAGACAAGTGAGAGACTGGAGGATGAAGAGGAAATCAATGCTGAGCTGACTGCTAAGAAGAGGAAGCTGGAGGATGAATGCTCTGAGCTGAAGAAGGACATTGATGACTTGGAGCTCACCTTGGCCAAAGTGGAGAAGGAGAAACATGCCACAGAAAACAAGGTTCAGTTCATTTTGATTATATTCTTAGTTCAATTAAAACATGTAATGTTGTTCTTTGAATATACATGTTAAACGTTCAAATAATCAGCAAAATCTCGAACAAAATTAAACTTAATGTATTCACATTGTTTCAGGTGAAAAACCTGACAGAGGAGATGGCATCTCAGGATGAGTCAATTGCCAAGTTGACTAAGGAGAAGAAAGCCTTACAAGAGGCCCATCAGCAAACACTGGATGATCTCCAGGCAGAGGAAGACAAAGTCAACACTCTGACCAAGTCCAAGACAAAGCTGGAACAGCAAGTTGATGATGTAAGAAAACTATAATAATGATGTGTTTGTTTTTTGTTTTTTATGGAAAGAATTTTAGTGCTGAATCATTGTCTTTCCAACCACTTGAATCAACTGACATGACTTTATAGCTTGAGGGTTCACTGGAGCAAGAGAAGAAGCTCCGCATGGACCTTGAGAGAGCCAAGAGGAAGCTGGAGGGAGATCTGAAACTGGCCCAGGAATCCATAATGGATCTGGAGAATGACAAGCAGCAGTCTGATGAGAAAATCAAGAAGTAGGGCTTTTTTTGTAAATAATTTTCTTTACACACACTGCATTGCAATAATCATATGGACTATGATCGTAAAACCATACTTCTTCCACACCAAGGAAGGACTTTGAAATCAGCCAACTTCTCAGCAAAATTGAAGATGAACAATCCCTTGGTGCTCAACTTCAGAAGAAGATTAAAGAACTTCAGGTAACACTAATGACCAGTGTTCATAAAGAATATTGTTCATTATAATTCAAAAACCTACTTTAGTTCAGGTTCTAATCGATAAATCCAAATAATTTCAAACTAGGCTCGTATTGAGGAGCTGGAAGAGGAGATTGAGGCTGAGAGGGCAGCTCGGGCTAAGGTAGAGAAGCAGAGAGCAGACCTCTCCAGGGAGCTTGAAGAGATCAGTGAGAGGCTCGAGGAAGCTGGTGGAGCAACAGCTGCTCAGATTGAGATGAACAAGAAGCGAGAGGCTGAGTTCCAGAAACTGCGTCGTGATCTTGAGGAATCAACTCTGCAGCACGAAGCTACTGCAGCAGCTCTCCGTAAGAAGCAGGCTGACACTGTTGCAGAGCTCGGAGAGCAGATCGACAACCTCCAGCGTGTCAAACAGAAGCTGGAGAAAGAGAAGAGCGAGTACAAGATGGAGATTGATGACCTCTCCAGCAACATGGAGGCTGTTGCTAAAGCAAAGGTGCGGACAGTATTTATAGAGAACAGATTTTTTCTTTTTTACATTTCAGGACCGCCAAAGCAGCTCATTAACTGTTAACATGGATATGGCATTACTTGGTGACAGGGCAACTTGGAGAAAATGTGCAGGACTCTTGAGGATCAACTAAGTGAACTCAAAGCCAAAAATGATGAGAATGTTCGTCAGCTGAATGACATTAATGCCCAGAAGGCGAGACTTCAAACAGAGAATGGTAAGTGATGTATAACAAAGAAACATTCTGTCTCTGGAAATTTGTCATTTACATGTACCTAAAACTACAACCAATCAGTGGGTGAAATGAAAGAAACTAGGCTCAATACGTGTGTGTTAACTACAGGTGAGTTCAGTCGCCAGCTTGAGGAGAAAGAAGCTCTTGTTTCTCAGCTCACAAGGGGCAAGCAGGCCTTCACTCAGCAGATTGAGGAACTCAAGAGACACGTTGAGGAGGAGGTTAAGGTCTGGAATATTTTCTCTCTTCTGTTAAATTTCAGCACTTACTAATAAAAACAGAGACAAGTTTTAATCAGTTACAGAGACACTCAGTAACTCTGAGACAGATAATCCTCTAATTTCTTTCTAAGGTTTTACCTCTTAAATTTGTTATCCTCTCAGCATTAGACTTTAAAATTGATTTCAACAATAAAATATCGAAATCTGAAATCAACTGTCACTTCAACAGGCCAAGAACGCTCTGGCTCATGCTGTTCAGTCAGCACGTCATGACTGTGATCTGCTCAGAGAGCAGTTTGAGGAGGAGCAGGAGGCCAAGGCTGAGCTGCAGCGAGGAATGTCCAAGGCCAACAGTGAGGTGGCTCAGTGGCGATCCAAATATGAGACTGATGCCATCCAGCGAACTGAGGAGCTGGAGGAGGCCAAGTAAGTCACCATACTTTCATTGTTTAAATTAGTTTTCAGACTTAAAACCAACCAATTCAGCCTTAATAAAAACAAAATTCTTTTAACAACAGGAAAAAGCTTGCCCAGCGCCTGCAGGAGGCTGAGGAATCCATTGAGGCTGTGAACTCCAAGTGTGCCTCACTGGAGAAGACCAAGCAGAGGCTGCAGGGTGAGGTGGAGGACCTCATGATTGATGTGGAGAGAGCTAATGCTCTGGCTGCCAACCTTGACAAGAAGCAGAGGAACTTTGATAAAGTAAAGTTTAAACATAACCTCTGTCATCAAAGGAGAAATTACACCCATTACAACAACTAATTATTTAATTAATTAATTTTTAATGAATCTAGGTCCTGGCAGAATGGAAGCAGAAGTATGAGGAGAGCCAGGCAGAGCTGGAAGGAGCCCAAAAGGAGGCTCGTTCTCTCAGCGTCTGTCAGCTGTTCCCCCATGTGTCTCCACTTCCCCTGATCACCTCATGTCTGTATTTAAGCCTTTTGTTTTCTTCATGCCATTGTCGGGTCGTTTGTTATGTTGACCTTAGCCTTAGTTTTCGTCTTTGCCTGTTTATTTTCTCCATAGTTATAGTTTTTGGTCTTAGTACCTTTAGTGTTTTGTTTCTTAGTGTTTTGCCAGTTTGTTTTGGTTTCCTGGTTTACCCCTGCCGTCATTTTAATAAAGCCTCACCTTTCTGTTAAAACCTTACTACTCCTCGTCGTCATCTGCTTTTGGGTCCTGTTTCCACACACATCGCCGCACCCCGCCGTGACAGAGACTGCACCTGTTTCGGCTGTGCAGGTAAAAAAGGCGTCCAGAAATGACCCTGTGTTGTCAGCAGTGCTGGACTGGATCATCAAGGGTCTTCCTGCTAGTAAGGGTGTAGACTTGAAGGCTTTCCTGGGAAAGCTTTTTGTTCAGGCGGGATGTTTGCTGTGGGGGAGGAGAGTCATCATTCCCATGTCATTGCGACCAAAACTGTTGAAGCAACTACATGCAGGACACAGTGGAATAGTGAGAATGAAGGAACTAGCGAGAAGCTATTTTTGGTGGCCAAATATGGACAAACAGATTGAGGAGATTGCAAAAAAACTGTTCATCGTGTCAGATGGTCCGGAACAACCCACCACTTGCTCCTCTCCTCTCACAGGAGCCATGGCATCGTGTGCACATTGACTTTGCAGGTCCATACGAGGACAAAATGTTTCTTGTAGCTGTTGATGCACACAGTAAATGGCCTGAAGTGACCGTCATGAAATCAGCCACCACTGAAAGGACCATAGAAGCACTAGGAGAAATGTTCAGTAGGTTTGGATCTCTTACTCAGATGGTCTCTGACAATGGACCTCAACTGGTTTCACAGGAAATGGAGACCTTCCTACTGGCTAATGGAGTGCAGCACATTACGTCAGCTCCATACCATCCTGCAACGAATGGGCTTGCAGAAAGGTTTGTTCAGACAATGAAACATGTACTGAAAACATCACAAGGCCAAGGAACACTACATCAGAGACTGCACAAGTTTCTGCTTAACTACCGGAATAGTCCACATGCTACCACAAGGACATCTCCTGCCAACGCAATGTTCAAGAGAGATCTGCGCACTACCTTTGATCTTTTGGAACCCTCAACTGTGCAGGACACTGTACAAAAACAACAAGAGAAACAAATCATGTACAGGGGCCAAAAGGTCAAGGACAGAGTCTTCAGCACCGGTGAGTCAGTGCAGGCCAGGAACTACCGAGGAGCACACAAGTGGGTTCCTGCAACTGTCATTGCACAAACTGGTCCAGTTTCATATACAGTACAGGTTGCCGATGGAGTGTGGAGAAGACACGTGGATCAGCTACTCCAGTCCGCACCAGTGTCTGCAGAAGGGTCTTGCAGAGATGTTGAAAATGCACTCATCGCCTCGTCAGCCCCTTCACACACACAAGTAGAGAACTCCACCGCATCAGGAACAGTGGTTCCCACTGTAAATGAGACTGTAAGAGAGACCGAGACATCTTCAGTGTCAGGAACAAAGGCTCCACGAGAGAGCACACAGACTGACGTTACCACAGACCGACGATACCCCAACAGAGAGTGGCGGCCTCCTGTTTGTCTGAGTTATTAGATGGCACCTGACCCAAGTGAACGGGGCAGAATAATCCCCATGGGTCATGGGGGAGGTTGAGGTAGTCTACCCTCACTCCCAAGATAGCAATTAAAAGAGTTGGTGTTTTAATCTGACAGTTAATGAAAGGTGAAATGTTTGTGAGGCTATTACTGTCATGTTCCAGTGAAGACAGAAGTTTTTGAGTAGATCACCTGTTATTCTGTAGTACATCCTTTGTAAGAGGGGAGGAGATGTTGTGTATTTTGGGTTATAACAGGACCCGTAGCATGTCATGCCCGGGTGCATTATGGGAAATGCTTAGGCTGTTGCTCGGGCTAGCTCCATGTTATAAGTTATGCCGTTATAATAAATACCTCAAGTTACGTCGTGGTCCGAGTATCATTGTTATACTAGTAACCCGGAGTGAAGATATAACAGACAGGTGTGTGCCTTTCCAAATCATGTCCAACCAACTGAATTTATCACAGGTGGACTCTAGTCAAGTTGTAAAAATTGACAGATGATCACTGGAAACAGGGCACACCTGAGCTCAATTTTGAGTGCCACGGCAAATGCTGTTAATTAGGACTGGGTATCATCACTGATTCACAATATCCCGATTCGATTCAAATAAATTTTGACCCAGACAGACAACTCAGACAATATTGTAATTCTGATCATTTATCAGTACATATCCATATTTCTATATCTATGTAGGCTATAAAAACAAAGCTGACACTTGTGAGATATCATCAGAGGTGTAAGCATCACAACAGATGCCTTTATGTCAAAATAACTGAGGACTCTGCACATCATCATCGAGCAGTCTATCGAATGGCAGTCTCCCTTGTACACCTCCCTTCCACTTGTCCTCTCAGGCATTAACCTGCCTTCTCCTTTTCACTCCTCTTCTTGCTCTGCCTGTCTGTCCTTCTAACATGTGTGTAGGCATAAGTAATACTAATTTTACTTACTTCCTCCAAGAAGTGGGCAGGGCTAGCCCTGGCTCTGCTTGCTTGCCTTGTTCCCATTTACACTTGCCTGTAGTATAAAACTGCAGTGCTTCACTTGTTGCTGTATCCTTAGCTATATGGTGTGATCTTTTTCTAGCGTGCCAACCTGCTGATCTACCAAGCTTCTGAAAATACCTGTCTCTTACCTTGCACTCAACAACAGCTTTCATTAAATTATGTCTAACATTTACAGAGGTTTCTCACATAACATGACACACACTTTACTCAATCACACATTTATCTAAAATTTATTTATTTATTTTAAAAAGGTTCATAAATTATTTCTTCTCTAGCCACTTTGTGAGGTTGTTGCTTAACTAGGTGAAATTATCAAAGAAGATTCTGTACCAAAAACCTCCCAGTTATTGCACTGGTTGCTAGCAGATTTGCACAGTTAGCTGTACTTCTTCAGATAAAAATGCTTTGAATACTTCCTAAGTACTGGCCCAGCAGTAGAAATACTAGAAAGAATGTGATGGAAACTGGAAATGGAGAAGGTTTGCCTTCAAAGTAAAAGCTGCACCTCAGCCAAAATTTTTCATAAAGTGCCACTATAACTCTGAAGCCAACTGCCTCCATTTCTAGTTTATGTTACACTTTTGGCAGTGTCAGTACAGCTTGGAGAGTAGACAGTGTTTTTGGATACTTCCATCACTTCGATTCAAATTGCTACAGCAGAAACATGCTAGTGGCCAAAGCAAACACAAGGTTTTTGCCAACTGGTTGGGGAATAGACCAACTAGTTAAGTGACAGGTGGTTACCACTAGCTGTATGACCAAGGTATTATTCACTCAATCCTACACTTTCACCATAATTGTTATATATCTAAAATGGCATACAGGTTAACGTTACATGGGGAGTGGTTGCATGTCTCCAAAATACCAATAGTCATTCTCATACAGGTCATTACTTGTCCTCAGACCTTTTATTTTGGCAGAGTACTTGATGACAATAACCTCCTATTTATGTCACTCTTTGCTTTTTCTCCATAGAGTTTAAGGCTTTGTGAATTTTGAAGGTATCAGAGACACCTAATGTCTGGATTTGCAAATACAGCAATTTTCTAAAGAAAATTAAATGGGATATAGTCAAAAGTAAATTGTGAACATGGAGGCAAATGAGTAGCCATTTATACTGTGTTTCCTAAGGAAGCTTAAGTGGCTAGATCTTTCTAGAGAAATGTCACTGTGTCTCTCCAGAAGTGCAGGCCAAAGTGACTCATCTGTGCTCATTAAAATAGTACTACAGTAACAGTATTGTAGAATTTCAAAAATTCAGTAAGGTTAAACACTTGCTACTGTACACCTAGCAAGACACTAAAACATTAGACTGCATTGTCTGTAATGTGTTCCTCTAAAATACCACAGCTAAAAGAAGCAGAGGAAATAAGTAATTTCCCTGTTTTGGTTGTTTTGTTGTCTTTGTGTCTACTCTGCATTTTTCTTGCTATTCTATATATATAGCCAACTCTTGGATCACAGTGAACATGCACAATATGTTATTTTACTCAACATTTTACAATGAACTTATCTTACTTTTAAACATGTGCTTTTTTAGGAAAATACATTTGGAAATTAAACAGACTATTTAAGATGACAAATCTCTTACACGTTAGGACATGGTCTTAACAACATATCTGAATATTGTCCTATAAATATATCCTTCACTTATGCAAAAGACAAGTCACAGCTTCTTCTCTTTGCTGGATTTATTTTTGACCATGGTAGCACCTCGTGACCTGCTGGTAAGATAGCAGACATTAAGACAAGTCTGTGCCAAACTTGGCAATGAAAGGTAATTCTGGCTATGATCCCAGACTTTTCCTTCCATTCATCATTTATCACTTACTCAGTACATCAAAATTTAAATTTAAAAACTGTATGTTTATTTTTTCCTTGCAGAAAGACATTAACATTTTTTTATAACAAACAATTTTCTAGTATTGAATTATCTGAGCTGGCAGTCCTTCTTAAACTCTATTCCTAGTAGAGATATATAACACTTGTCTGGCATTAATACAAAGTCTTGCTGTGAATTTTATTTCAGATGGCTGAGGTGTTTATGTCCTGTAATAGTACACCAGTGGCATTTCAAGACTTCTCCAAATTTAAAACTCAGTACTGGCTGTGATGTCAAAATGATTTGAGCTTAGAGCTTAGTATAAACTCTTTCAACTTAATATCACTGTCAAGTTAATATCAAGATTGATTGGAATAAATAATTCACAAACCATGTAGTGCACTATTATAATTTACCACTGGGTATACTGTAGACATTACTGATGTACTCAGTATTTATGAGGACACTTACCTTATAAAATCTCTATTGGTTTCTCCATCAAGGAAAAACTTGATGGAGAAGCTGGCTTAAGGAATTAAGCCAGCTTCTCGGCAAGATACTTTAGGTAACTTAAGGTAAAACTAATGAACAGCGTTCATAATGAATATTATTCATTCTTATGAAAAACAATTACAATCTAAGTTCCCATTGACAAGCTCCGTTAATATAAAACTTCAAACTAGGCTCATATTGAAGAGGAGATTGAGGCTGAGAGGGCGGCTCAGGCTAAGGTAGAGAAGCAGAGAGCCGACCTCTCCAGGGAGCTTGAAGAGATCAGCAAGAGGCTCAATGAAGCTGGTGGAGCAACAGCTGCTCAGATTGAGTTTAACACAAAGCGAGAGGCTGAGTTTCAGAAACTGCTCTCCGCAAGAAGCAGGCTGACAGTGTTGCAGATTGCCCAGCGCCTGCAGGAGGCTGAGGAATCCATTGAGGCTGTGAACTCCAAGTGTGCCTCACTGGAGAAGACCAAGCAGAGGCTGCAGGGTGAGGTGGAGGACCTCATGATTGATGTGGAGAGAGCTAATGCTCTGGCTGCCAACCTTGACAAGAAGCAGAGGAACTTTGATAAGGTAAAGTTTAAACATAACTAATATAATATGAAGAGGGATACACCCATAATAACAACTAACTAATTAACCTATATTAAAATAAGTCCTGGCAGAATGGAAGCAGAAGTATGAGGAGAGCCAGGCAGAGCTGGAAGGAGCCCAAAAGGAGGCTCGTTCTCTCAGCACTGAGTTGTTCAAGATGAAGAACTCATATGAAGAGGCTCTGGATCAACTGGAGACCATGAAGCGAGAGAACAAGAACCTGCAGCGTATGCTTATCTTGCTTTTGTTGTAGCAAAAACATTTGCATATGTCAGCTCCAAGTACTCTAACTCTTGGCTGTGTCTGCTCTTTAGAGAAGATCTCAGATCTGACTGAGCAGATTGGTGAGACTGGAAAGAGCACCCATGAGCTGGAAAAGGCCAAGAAGACTGTTGAGACTGAGAAGTCTGAAATACTTTATCAGGATTCCCAGCTGCACCTTGATGATGCTTTCAGAGGACAGGAAGACATGAAGGAGCAGGTCACCATGGTGGAGCACAGAAATGGTCTCATGATGGCTGAAATTGAGGAGCTGAGAGCCGCTCTGGAGCAGACAGAGAGAGGATTAGGAGTTGCTGGACAGGAGTTGGTTGGTGCTAGTGACCGTGTCAGACTGCTTCCCTCAGGTTTGATTGTTTTTAACACTTACAATAATATATTAAAATCCTTTTTACAGTGCTCCTCAAAACAACGCTACTGTATACTATTCTGTACAAATATCTGAGAGAGAATGCAGAAATATGAAAAGTAAATATTAAATTAAACTGAAGTTAAATTAACTAATATATAAATGAGGGTGCCCTCATTTTAATTCCAATCAACTACAAGAGGAACATGCCAACATCTACCTACCCAGGCTGAGAAAGGTTCAGCATGAGCTGGAAGAAGCTCAAGAGTGCAATGACATTGCTGAGTCCCAGGTCAACAAGCTAAGAGCCAAGAGTTTGATCATGCCATGTAACATCTGCGGATTTTACTTTGACATATACCTAAGAACCGCTGCAGACCATGTACATCCTTTGCATTGAAAGAAATTATCCTCTTCCTTCACTGCATACCGGGATATATTTGAAGCCTGAGAAGTAAATTGATATAGAGCGACCAGTAGGAATTAGTTCAAACATGTCATTTAAAAATAAACCACCAAAAATACCTCAAAAATTGGGTAATTTCCATGATTTGTTTAACTCAGTCCAAACTGTGTAGGGCAATATATTATACTTGAAAAACTGATATTCTAATCCAAAGGAGATTTTAATCACTTTAAGAGAGCAAAGTAGCCTTTGAGGCAACTTCCAGTGCAAAAACATAATATCCTAAACAACTGAAAAATCTGTGCCCTCCATCAAACATTGCATTCAGTATATTCAAGCTATTTAAGTGTGAATCACACCTTAAAGTAAACTAAATAGACAGGAAGAGCATAAAAGACTTTATCTTGTTTTATGCATGCTTTACATTATGTAAAATAATAGACAATAATAAGTGATATCAGAAATTTGTTGAACTTTTGTAATTTTGTACAGTTGGAGAATTAAAGTTTTAATATTTCAACTTTAGTCAAGGTTTCATTTTGATTTCCACTTCTGAAAATGTCAAGCAACAGTCAGTTTTTGTGACTAAAATGCCCTACTTTTGTGTGAAACTTCATAGGGGAATTCAAAACAAATAAGTTGACAGATTTTCTATCAAACTATGGAAATTAAATAACATAAGAACACAAAATTCACCTGCTTCTCTGGATATGTCGGACAAATGTCCTCTCAGTGCAAGAGTGGTATCCTAACTCTGTCCCTTAGCTGTTGTTATTTTTGACTACAGCAATGACTTGTAATCCTCTGTTAAGATGGTAAATGATAAACCACACCTGTCAACAGTTTCAGCAAGTAATCTGAGAGGACACTGGAAATTATTCCAAATGTCAAGATACTTTTTCATCTCTGCTCATTCAGTAAAAGTTGAATATAAAGATTTTAAATAGCAACTAATACTATGTTCTTGTACCAAAATTTTCATTTTTCAACAATCATAAGTGAAAAACACTCATTTTAAATCTTATTTGTGCAGCTGTTATTTAAGGTCTTACCTGAGGTGCCAACTTTTCTTGTATTACATTTCCAGGAATCATGTGTTGCTCTTTTAACTTTTATGGAAAGTACAGCAGCATGAAATTAGTATCAGATACCAGAGACATGTATACTGTGCAACTATATACCAGTGACATTCTGACGCTTCCCCAACATTAGCACTCAGTCCTGGCTGTCATATCAAAATTAAATTGATGCAACTGCCTATCATAAAATGTGTCAACTGAAATCTGATCCCCAAGTACTTCTCTGGATTTATTGGAGCAGACACTTCACAAACCATGCTGTGCACTGTTGCTATGTAGTATTGAATAAACTGTGAACATAATAAGAGTAGTAAATACTGTATTTACAAAGTTAAAAATGATGTGTTAAAAGTCAAATAACATTATAAGAAAATGCATTAATAATATATATCTGAATGTATAATATAGTCGAATACAGTTCTATGTAAAATAAATCAACACTGAAATATTTACAGATTGACTTACCAATACTTAATTAGAATATGTAAACTTGAGAAATTTTTAATTAATATTTGTTTTTTTAGATCCAACAGTATTTTATCTTCTTTATTATAGAGAAATTGACTATAAAATTATGTTTAAAAAATATTTTTGGCATTTTTTTTGTCTCATGTGTAACAGAACATAATCAAAAATCACAACTATTCTGTCAATCATAAAGTAACATAGAGGTATTTTAATAAGTACTCATGGTGTCAGCAATGAGTCGATAACTGTCAAGTAACAAAGTGAAAAGCTGTGCTGAGCAGACACACTCGAGCATATATAAGCAGCAACTCTGGAAACCCAATCCAGCTGACAGGCATGTGACACAGGTCAAATATTTGCATATATCAGCTCCAAGTACTCTTGGCTGTGTTTGCTCTGTAGAGGAGATCTCAGATCTGACTGAGCAGATTGGTGAGACAGGAAAGAGCATCCATGAGCTGGAAAAGGCCAAGAAGACTGTTGAGACTGAGAAGTCTGAAATTCAGACAGCTCTGGAGGAAGCTGAGGTAATGTATTTTATAAAAATGTACTGTTTATATTCAAATTTAAAAAAGTATCCCTTCTCCAGTTTATGTTGCAACAATTTTTTTTTTTTACATAACTCTTTTAATCATTTAAAGGGAACTCTGGAGCACGAGGAGGCCAAGATCCTTCGTGTTCAGCTTGAGCTAAACCAGGTGAAAGGTGAGATTGACAGGAAGCTGTCAGAGAAGGACGAGGAAATGGAGCAGATCAAGAGGAACAGCCAGAGGGTGATTGACTCCATGCAGAGCACTCTGGATGCTGAGGTCAGGAGCAGGAATGATGCCCTGAGAGTCAAGAAGAAGATGGAGGGAGACCTGAATGAGATGGAGATTCAGCTGAGCCATGCCAACAGACAGGCTGCTGAGGCCCAGAAACAACTGAGGAATGTCCAAGGACAGCTCAAGGTGAGTTGGTAGATGATTTTCTCTCAATTAACAAGTAAGACAGAGTAAATTGTATTTCTTTGTTTGTATTGTTGTTTGCTTGTTAACAGGATGCCCAACTGCACCTGGATGATGCTCTCAGAGGACAGGAAGACATGAAGGAGCAGGTCGCCATGGTTGAGCGCAGAAATGGTCTGATGGTGGCTGAGATTGAGGAGCTGAGAGCCGCTCTGGAGCAGACAGAGAGAGGACGCAAAGTAGCTGAGCAGGAGTTGGTTGATGCTAGCAAGCGTGTTGGACATATACATATATACATTATTATTATTTGCATTATACATTATTTGCATGTCTGAACCAGAATTAACACACTTAAGGATTAGGGAACAAAAACATAATATAATACAGAATTAAACTGCAGGTTAATAAATAAACCAATAATTAAATAAATGCCTAACCATAAAAAAAACATAAATACTGTTGTTGATATTATGATGATGACTAGTGTATCGATTCTGATATATTCTATATATGTAGATTCTTGATATAGCGTCCAATATTTAAACCAAAATATATTTTTCTTGTTTCATTCAGAACACCAGTCTTTTGAACACCAAGAAGAAGCTGGAGGCTGACCTTGTCCAGGTTCAGGGTGAGGTGGATGATGCAGTTCAGGAAGCAAAAAATGGCCAAAAAGGCTATCACTGATGTGAGATTTTTTTTTCTTCTATTTTGTTTTTCACTATTACAGGGTTCTGAAATCTCTAATTTGCAGTTCATGTTAAGTTCGATTTTAATGTAGAACAGATTTTAAATTTTGGAAATATTTCATCACTTCAGGCTGCCATGATGGCTGAGGAGCTGAAGAAGGAGCAGGACACCAGTGCTCACCTGGAGAGGATGAAGAAGAACCTGGAGGTCACAGTCAAGGACCTGCAGCACCGTCTGGATGAGGCAGAGAACCTCGCCATGAAGGGTGGCAAGAAGCAGCTCCAGAAACTGGAGTCCAGGGTACAAACTATACACAGTACTAAAACTAGTTTCACCATCGAAGTCTACCTTTGTGTAGACATGTTCTTTTGCCCTCAGCGAGACTTAGTTTTTCTTGTAATTAAATTAATTATGCTTTAATTAATTTACTTGTTTTCTTTTATTCGTTATTTATTTATATCTATATATATCTATATATATTTATATATGTATCTTTATTATTTAGTTTTGGTGTACAGCACTTTGCGTCAACTATGGTTATTTTAAAGTGCTTTTTAAGTAAAGATGATGATGATGAGGTAGAATTAAGACACTTTTATTTTTATGCTTTACCATGGCAATAATAATGTAGCTACATTGTTTTATTATATTATATTCTTTTATCAAATTCCAGGTGCGTGAACTGGAAGCTGAACTTGAAGCTGAGCAGTGACGTGGAGCTGATGCCATTAAAGGAGTCTGGAAATATGAGAGGAGAGTGAAAGAGCTCACTTACGAGGTAATTAATTATCTAACTAAAAATTATCTAATTTCTTGTGTCCATTCCCTTTCACTTACAACCCTAATTGTTTAGACTGAGGAGGACAAGAAGAACATCACAAGACTTCAGGATCTGGTCAGCAAGCTGCAGTTAAGGCTTACAAGAAACAGGCTGAGTAGGCTGTGAGTCAACTACAATTATATGACAAATTTCCTTCAGCTTGGTTCATCGCACGCCCATTGACTCCCCTATAACCAAGTCAGTATTTTTGTAAATCCTCTACAGGAGGAGCAGGCAAACACTCACATGTCCAGGCTCAGAAAGGTTCAGCATGAGCTGGAGGAAGCTCAGGAGCGTGCTGACATTGCTGAGTCCCAGGTCAACAAGTTGAGAGCCAAGAGCTGTGACACTGGAAAGGTAGCAACTTCTGTCCAAATATCCAAAAAAAACAAAAAAAACAATTGTGCACATCATTATAAGTGAGACACATTGTAATGCTTTGTGCAGTTAAGCAAAAATTATTAAAACAAGATATGTTAAAACAGAAAAAGTCTTCAGAGGATTCAAATAACTTAAAACCTTTAAATAACTCTTTTTTTCTGTTTGTTTGTTTTTTCAGAGTGAGTCTGCTGAATAAGACACACTTGAATGAAGCTGTTCAACAAAATATGAATCATCTGTTGGATGCTGCAAAATATCAATCAATGTTTTGAAAATGACTCATTCATTTTAATGTTTCTTTGCTTTTCGTAAAATAATGTTTAGAATGTAAATGTAATCAATTAAGAGAGAGCTATTAAAAGTAATAAATAAAAAGCCATACTGAATTGCTTAGTAGCCACTTTTGAAAAGGAGTATTCAGAAGGAATATTTATTAGCTCTACAGATAGCCATATAATGCAGAAAATATCTAAGAAGTAATAGCTGCTGCAACCAGTATTTTATGTGAAAGACATGTAAAAGGCCAAACTTACCTGTGGATTTACCAAAGGTTTTTAGAGTGTATTTGTCATGATAAATCAAATAATAAATACATAAGTATACATAAATTAAAGAAATCAATGAATTTGAAAATGAATTTAATGTTTGTTAATTAAATGAGTTTCTGTTACTAAAAGATTCTCAGTAAAAGTTCTGATAGTGTCTTGGTTTTATATAGATCTAGTGAGCTAGGTGGCTTATTAAAAGTGACATATTTAGACAGAAACCATTTGCTAAGAACTGGTCAAATTTATTGTATTTATTGTACGTATAAGGAAGTTATTTATTTTCATTTGACAGCTTTTCATTTTATGAATTGACTAAATAGCAAGAGAATAGGGCTGATAACTAAGGGACTGTTCATGGTTAGCACCTTAACCTGTCAGTGTTATTTAATTGTTTTCCAGTTTTAAGGAGTGCAGTCAGATATATATATATACATATACACATATATTATATATGTGTTGGTCAGGCTTCACTAAATATGAGCTAGACACAGTGATGAAGCTCACAGGCCATCTATTTCCACTGGGCAACAAAAGGAGAAGTCTAGTGTACAAACAAGTGTACAGTGCACATCTAGCAGGAAAGGAGAAGTCTGACTCAGAACGTACCATTTGAGGCCAAAACAACTTTCTTTATAACTGATCCCGAAGAGCTGTATGTCTAATATAAACTGATTAAGAGAAAGTGTGGCAAAGCCACAGTGAAAAGATGATATATTGGTACACAAAAAAGATACTGTTGAATATTTAAAAACACAATTTCTATTCGGGTGGTCACTGTGACAGAGGGAATTTAACCATAAAACCCTTCAACGTTCAGTAAACATGTCAAAGGCACACAATGGAAAAGGCACATAGCTGGTTAAGAAGGAGGAGAAAAAGTTTACATGAATGTACCACTAGTATATTTCAAATCCTCTTTTTCAAGATTTCATTGAGGACCAAACCATTTCAACCAACCCTCTGTTGTTGCAATGTTTTAAATCTGAACAGGAAAATCAGTTAAATTCTGAAACCACCTGGTAACCAGTGACAAGAGACAAAAACAGTATAATCTAGATATAAACCCCAATCCAATCAAATCAAAATTAATTTCTATAGCACATAATAATACAATTAAGTTGTGCTTCACAGTCGGTCAGTGCAATAGCATACGACAGAATAAAAAAAAGAAAACAGTTAAAAGTTGTATTTTTTTTTATTTACAATATTTTATTGTGAATATATTTTTCTAAACTTTCAGAACTTTAGTTTTTTAACCCTAAGAAAAAGCTGATGGCTTACTTGTCAGCCTGAGGTGTGATATGATGATCTGTATAAACTGGACATGACTGCATGGTAGGGTTTGGGAATAATTAGTGTTTTTCATTGTTCGTGTGTGTTGTATCTCACAGCTGAGGGAACTAGAAGTCGAAACTAAGCTGAGATGTGGAGCTGAGTCAGTTCCCTTTTAATTACAGTTAGTAATCTGTATAGACTGAGGAGGAGAAGAAGAATGTGACCAAGCTTCAGGATCTTGCCGTCAAACTGCAGTACTGTATCTTGTTCTTTGTACTGTACTGTTGTTCTTTGTCATTCCATTTCCAAGTCAAAAACCTGATTTATGAGTAAAGTTACAATTTAATGACACTTATGTTTGTTGAAAAGTGTACTCTACTGATCCATAAAACAGTTTAAGTGCAATTTGGCTCTATGTTTCTTAATTCAGTTATAAAATCACTTAAAATAGAAGCTCGCCATTAACAATTTTACCTATTCTGTGAAACCAAATTCTGATTCGTGCAAAACATTCAATGCATAGACACAACTAACAAGCCCCAAATGCAAAAGAAAAAGAATAGAAAAGTTCAAATGTAATTTTAAACAGACACTAATGGCAATCCACTATATACACCCACTATAGTGTGTGTGCCTTTTGGGCTAATTACCCATTTAGCTAGCATCAAATGACTTATTTGCTAATGCTGATACTGTATCTTGCCATTAACTCATCAATGTAATGCAACTAGCGTGAGCAAAGAAGTAGCTTCAGAATCACTGTAGAGACTCAGCCTTTACTGGGGCATAAAGTTTTCTTCCATTATCCAAAATAAAAAACATCAGTGTGTCACTGCAGTAAAACCACACAGGAAACTGTAAGAGAGAGGGGAACAATTTTAATGCCAAATATAAAAGGGACTTCATCAAAGTTTACAAAATTTAAATTAATACATTAAAAAAACATTTTCTTTCTTTTTTTTGCCAAATCTTCTCTTTTAATTATTTTTCCTGGAACGATTTCAGTTTTCACCTATAGTTTTCATGTTACCCTGCTACAGGCTACATTTATGATATATTTGTGATAGCTATCAGATACCAGTTTTCTAATTAAACATTTACAACAGGAGCTCCTCTGCAGGGGAGGAAGAAGAACCCAAAGCTCAAGAAGGAGCTCCAAAAACTATGGATGTTTTTATTGTTCGTTTAGAGTGAAAGGGCTTACCTACTACATAATTTATGCTGTATGTGTATAACAAAACTTAAATTTAGTTATGCAAATTTAAATAGGATTTGTCAAAGCGGGAACCATTAACTTTCCTGTAACCAAGTGAGTATAACTTTAAAACTTTCACAAGATGTCCAACACTTACTTGTCCAGGCTCTGAAAAGTCCCACTTGAGCTCAAGGAAGCCAGAGAATGCTCTGACATTTCTAAGATCCAGTTTTGAGTACCCAGTTCACAGGCTGAGAGCCAAGAGCAGTGATGCTGGAAACGGAGCTTTTTATTCAGGTGATAGCTAATAATTGCATTAGAATTGTTCACACATACTTTGCTGGTTAAAAGCTAAAAAAAAAAATGACTAAAAGATTTGAGTCTGACTAACACCACCATGGATTAATCATTTTATTATTTAATATAGTGAAACAAATTTTAAGCATTTCGCAATTTCCTAGCAAGCTTCCAAGAAGTGTTTATTGTTGTTTTCCAATTTACTATTCTTAGAAGAACTAAGTAAACAGAAAATAATAAAGTTCTGTAATTAAAACTTTCCCAACAGCAACCACTGTCAGGCCAGTGTTTAAGAAGATGTTAGGACTTAACGGGGACTCAACGGCACTTGTAACAGTGAGGCACTTGCTGTTCTGGAATGACAATTAGCTTAGTATAAGCTGAAAACCATTGCAAGAATCCAAGTACTCTCTTGTGGCTTCTTGTTGGCCAGTATTGTCAATGCTATGAAAGCTCAGCAGTATGACAGCAAATTAATAGGAATCCTAATAGTGCTCTAAATTTATGACCAGTATTTGTTGCCAACTTAGCCTGCTTGTAAACACAGTGCTGACTGCTGAGTGACCTATTTTAAATGAACCCAGCTTTCATCAAAGGTCACACAGGCCAATAGTAATTGAAGTGCTCCTGTGAGTGTTGGTAAGAAGAAGAAGAAAAAGACGAATCAGAAGAAGACAAAGAACTTTATGAATGTTTGTAAAATGATTGATAATTAATATAGTATTACACAACATTATATTATCTTTGAGGAGTATAATGTAAGACAGTTGTTTTCTTATTTCTTTATTTTTATTTGTGGCACAGCTGGGGTGTCTGCTACTATGGAAAACTACAATGTGAAGGACATGGCTATAACTCAATATTGTACACAGCAGGCTACAGGAGGCATGAAGGAAGTATTAATTAGATGCAGTTAAAGGAGCTTTTGTGCTTGGCACCAGAGGAGGCACAGGTGTTCCAAGCCCCCGGACAGATTGTATTTATGAGATCATATTACACTAGCAGGATGTGAATTTGTGAGCCAGTACATTTTTCGGGGTTAGCTTGAGCATTGTAGTGCACATACCCAGCAGCTGAAAGATATAGTCTCATATGACTGACACAAACTATGTTCCTTTAAACAAAGCTGTTAGCATGTCTGTAATGAATAACTGACCAATTAGGCAAGCAGCAATTGTCTGCTTGAACAAGGAGTGAAACTACTACAATTTAATGTTATTTATTTTCTCACTCAAACTACTGAAGTGTTAGGCATTTTTTTCTCATTTCATAGGAAACATTCAACAAGTATGCAAGAAGGCAAGCACTGTTTAGTTCACAATATTCTCAAACAGTTAAAACTGTGTTCTGTACTTTATTATTTATATGATCATATATAACATATAACAGCTCCAGTTCCAGCATGCTAATTAGTATTAGCTTATTAATGATCTGATGCAAAAATATTGTTAAGCACACATAGAGAGTTTTATAGTTAGTCTCACCTCTTCAAGCTTTCTTTTTCCTTCTTGTATTTTTATGTCACGTTAAGTTACTACATTTCATATTAAACTAATAAGTTACACGGAGAAACAAAATCAACTGAAATTTCAGTCTTATAAAGGGGGCACTCTAGAATGTTCCCCTTCTCTGTCTGTACCCTTTTTCTGAAAACATAAAACAAAGATTAAAGTCAAAGAACGAAAGCCAAAGACACACTACCCATCATTCTCCCAGTGCTACTACCCCGTCATGGAATAATCTCACACTCTTTTAAAGCTTCTTAGGCTCCTCCTTGCCAGACATGGTTGGCATGTTTTTACTCAGTTTAGGGCTTAGTGCAGAGGGCCATCTATAAGCATCTACACACCCAAGGACATTCAAAGGAGAACATTAGTCAGGACAATCAATCTCTGCCCATGTACCCATTGGCACCTTCTAAAAAAAGGCTTGTTTTATTCACTGTATCCCAGCAGGTTAAGTGTAAATTGTATGATGTTTGGATTCACAGTAATAAAAAAGTTTAAGCAAGAAATCATTAAAAACTTTACATTTGTATACATATGCAAACTTCAAACCGTACTTAAAACTATCAAAGGTCAGTTTAAAACTAATTCTGCAACTTGAAGCAGGTTAGAGTCTTTCTGCTCTGGGGTTAATCACACTGGTATTTGAAAGTCTTTGTAATTCTACTGCAGGGATTCATTTATTTGTTGTTTTATTGATGGCAGAGGAGAATACAGTCTAACATATCTGCTTATCACCTCCCATAGGTATTTCATTGAGCTGAGATCGGATTCATACCATTTTCAAACGCATCAAACCATTAGCTGACCCCTCACACCATGTGGATGAAGGAATTGTCATGCTGGAAGAACCAACTTCCCATTCTGTCCCATCAGAATATAACAGTTTCATCACAGGACAAAGGTGATCACTCAGAACAACTCTTAAGTGATTTACAGTACAAGGCTTTCCTCTAAAGGGGGCCCAAACATTGTCAACAAAATACCTCCCAAAGCAAAACAAAGCCACCGGATCCCCTCACTGTGGGGGTCATGCATTTGTGCTTTTCCTTTAATTTGTCAATTGTGTGTATTTGGAACTGTTGTTACATTTTGTCACCAGAGATGAAAAACAGCGTGTATTCAGGGTAGCCCAGCACAGCTTTATTTGTTTTGTTTTTGTTTTTGTGTTTTAGGAAATAAATAAAAAAAAATGCTGCTAAATTAACATGGATGGAATCACAGATTTATATTTGTATGATATGTATGAAATAGTGTGTAACCATAACTATATCAAGATCATGCATACAAAGTTTTTAACAAGCAAGTTGACCCTGTTAGATCTTAAAACATCTATGGCAAATGCTATTAAGGGTGACTGAAAAAAACTGAAGACATTTGACTTTACTTGGGAAGCACGTGTTCTGCATGTTTGCACTGAAAACCCACCTGTGCACAGAGGTTATATGGATTACATACCTCAAGGTCATCTCTTTTGAAGAATGAAGGATTGCTAAATTCAAAAAGGCAAAAAGAAAAAAACAAACAAAACACAGCTTTGTTTTCCTTTTTACCTTTATGAATTTATTATTAAGCTAAGCCTTAAATGTAAAAATAATCCCGGATATAGTTTTCATTCACTTTACTATTACAGTCCTGGCATCTCTAAAATCTTGTTTATTGCCACAGGTCTTATTTTGGGTCTTATCCCATTCTAGATGGCAACTGTTCATCCACTCCATTCCAAGACGATATGTAATCTCTTCTAAGCTTTTATGGAATGGCGCTCAATATCAGTTCAGACATCTGAGATGTATGCTTGTCCTGCAACTGTACACCAGTGACATTTATATGCTTCTCCAAAACCACAGCCTGTGTCATGACATGTTCCACTAGGATGATTAATAATAACATTGTAGAGAAGCAAGAACCAGACAGGCTTGTATGTTAATTAAATATTATAAGAATATATTTTCTACAAATGGTTATAATCTTTGATACGTGCGCAACAGCTGTTCTACACATTACAGAGCTAAATCAGATGATACAATGAGTGAGCATTAGGAGAAAAAGACTCATTAATCTGTTGATACTAAAATGTGTTTAAATCAGTCGATCTATATTGAATGTTTTGACCTTGCTTTATGGAACAGTTGTTCACTTGCTGCCCCCTTTTTTTATTGGACCACCAAATCTGACATGTGTGAAGAGCAACTGTACACCAGTGACATTTGGTGCTTCTCCAAAGTAAAAAGTACTTCTAATATACCTTCTGCTCCTACTGCTATGATAATAATAATAATTATTATTATTATTATTATTATTATTATTATTATTATTGATAGAAGTAATAATAGAAATGTATTATTAATAAAAACATTGATGCTCATAAATCGAGTTCATCTTTTATATGAACAGCATTTTACACATCTAAATTAAGAAAAGCCTTGTTACATGCCTTGTAAGTTATATAAATTATCGTTATCGTTCAAAGTAATCGATCTTGCAGTAATTTTCTTTCATCTTCAATCAGCACTGTGTCTTATGACTGCCCAGTTTGGCCACCTTCTGTTATAAATGTGCTTGCAAAGCAGTTTAATCACAGCAACTGTCACTGTCGCGGGATTAAGGGCAACATGGCAAGAATACATGACCAAACTGAGCAAGGCACACCTACTGAGGAAAAAGTTCTCCCTCTATAAAAGAGGGTGCTTCAGTCTGAGTCAGCAACTGATAGGCTTCCAACTCAGGTAAGAACATTAACTTCAGCTATTTTGCATTGTGAAACACAATTTTATCATAGCTTTGGGATATTTAACACTGCACGTTTTAATGCTTTTAGAATTGTTTACAGTTACTACTACTACAACTAATAATAATAATTTTAGCAGTAGTAGTAGTAGTATATTTTGAAATTAATGGACACCCATATTTATTATAGTTGATGGTTTGTTATTAGGATTCAAGCAACAGAATCAAGAGTTTACAGTTTTCTGCTGGGACTAAGGAAGGTACATTATAGTGTATTTTCTGTGATATCTGAACAATTCCCAAACACACACATTAGCATGGGGATGTTTATGAAAACAAAGACAACAAAGAAAACAAAACCTCTCAACCTCTCAATTTCAGCCCCCTAAAGTTCCATCATGAGCACAGATGCAGAGATGCAGGCCTATGGCCCTGCAGCCATTTACCTCCGAAAACCTGAGAAAGAGAGATTAGAGGCTCAGAACACTCCTTTTGATGCCAAAAGTGCCTACTTTGTAACTGATGCTGATGACATGTACGTGAAGGGTAAACTCGTCAAAAGAGAGGGTGGCAAGGCAACTGTTGAGACACTTACAGGAAAGGTAAGTAAAACAATTAATTCTTCAACTTTCTTAGAAAAGATTAGACTCAACTTTATGGATTATGCAATGTACTATGTTAAAAAAGGTTTTGTTTAATTTTATTCTTTTTCAAATGCAGACAGTCACTGTAAAAGAGGATGACATCCACCCCATGAATCCTCCAAAGTTTGATAAAATTGAGGACATGGCCATGATGACCCACCTCAATGAGCCTGCCGTGCTGTTTAACCTCAAAGAGCGTTTTGCATCATGGATGATCTATGTAAGCTTTAATCTCATAATATACTTTGCTTGTATTTTCTCTGAGTAACAACTATATATATGTTTCTGTGTCTTTGTTATTACAGACTTATTCCGGCCTCTTCTGCGTCGTGGTGAATCCCTACAAGTGGCTTCCTGTGTACGATGCTCAGGTTGTTGTGGCATACAGAGGCAAGAAGAGGATTGAGGCTCCACCCCACATCTTCTCCATCTCTGATAATGCCTATCAGTTCATGCTCACTGGTAAAATCAAAGTTGATTAAAGATTCAGGTGCATGGGACAATGAGGATTGTCAACTGTAGGTTTAATATGCGTGTGCTCTTATATTTCAGATCGTGAGAATCAGTCTATCCTCATTACGTAAGTATAATATAAACATTACAAGAACACTTCTTTAGTAAAAATCATAATTGTATTGCAAAGTAAAAATCATGCTTTAATTCCACAGTGGAGAATCTGGTGCAGGAAAGACTGTAAACACCAAGCGTGTTATCCAGTATTTTGCAACAATTGCAGTAGCTGGAGCTAAGAAAGCTGAAACATCCTCAGGAAAAATACAGGTAAAATTGTGTTCAAATCAAATGTGTTTGTCACAGGTGATTGCTGCTGCTGTTTTTAAACAGCTGTTTGATGTCTCTGTGTAGGGTTCACTGGAAGATCAAATCATTGCAGCTAACCCTCTGCTGGAGGCATATGGAAATGCCAAGACTGTGAGGAATGACAACTCCTCTCGTTTTGTAAGTATTCGTGTTCTGGACTCTAAAATTATTTTCTTACACCTACTGTTATCCAGAGCCAAACTGACATTTTGTGGTAAATGTTCAGGGTAAATTCATCAGAATTCACTTTGGCTCCACTGGAAAACTAGCCTCAGCTGATATTGAAACATGTAAGTTAGCCTTATTTTCCTTTTGTAGTTAGTAGTATACAAATGAAATGCCTGTACTGTTTGATCATCACACTTCCTATTCAACAATTGTTCACAGATCTGCTGGAGAAGTCCCGTGTCACCTTCCAGTTGTCTGCTGAGAGAAGCTACCATATCTTCTATCAGCTGATGACAGGCCACAAGCCTGAGCTCCTGGGTATGTGATGAACTGAACAAGACATACTGTAAATTACTTTCCATACCCCCAGTTGTTTTAAAGAAAAGAATAGTCTTTATCTTGGAACCACTCCAATTAAGCTACTTCTTTTGTTGTTTGGGGGGGAAAAGAAAACATTATTAATTAAATAACTTTTAAGGTGCTACCTCTCCTCTCTCTCTCTCTCTCTTTCTGTTTCTCAACCCACTATATCCTTACACCCACCCAAACATATAATTTCACATAATTTCATAGTGTAAAGTTGTGTTTTTAACATATAATAATCTTGAAGTTACTGTTGGTTTTACTGTTTTCTTCCCCCAGTTTTCCTAACCTAGTCACTTTCTTCTCTGTGTTATATAAATCCTTATGTCAATCACTAATCTTGCACAATTAAAAAACAATAAGGAAATAACCATGTTCCACTCAAGCATTTCTTCTACTTTCTTCTAGAGTCTCTTCTAATCTCCACTAACCCTTATGACTATCCAATGATCAGTCAGGGTGAAATCACAGTCAAAAGTATCAATGATGTGGAGGAGTTCATTGCAACAGATGTAAGTTGATGGTAATGTGTAGAATAAAGGCAAACTGTCACAATAACTTGTTTAAAAATGAATGCTGTGCTTGGATTACAGACTGCGATTGACATCTTGGGCTTCAGTGCTGACGAGAAGGCGGGCATCTACAAGCTGACTGGCGCTGTGATGCATCATGGAAACATGAAATTCAAGCAGAAGCAGCGTGAGGAGCAGGCTGAACCTGATGGCACTGAGGGTAATCAAATTGATTTTGTAATATTACATCCTCATGAAGTAATAATTCACATTAACTCTTAGAACTACAGTGACGTCCATAGCATTAACCATTCCCATTTAGACAGATAAATATCATACTACCGTAATATAATGACTGAGCAGAGTGACTGCCTGCAATTGTTCATAAAATGTAAAATAAATCTTTAGCACTGCTATCAATGTGGATTTTAGTTGTGTTTTAGCTCATTCCATAGTGTTAACATTTCTTTGTTACATAATGAAATATGTTTGTTTTTCCAATCAGTGGCTGATAAAATCGCCTACCTCATGGGCCTGAATTCAGCTGACATGTTGAAAGCTCTGTGCTACCCAAGAGTCAAGGTTGGGAATGAGTTTGTGACCAAAGGTCAGACTGTCCCACAGGTAATTTTTTTAAAAATTGAAAGGATTAAAAAAAAAGTTTCATTTTAAAATACTTTTTACAGTGTTATCCAGGAGAATGTTGAATTCTCTTCTTCCAGGTCAACAATGCTGTCTCGGCTCTGTGCAAATCTGTATATGAGAAAATGTTCTTGTGGATGGTTATCCGTATCAATGAGATGCTGGACACAAAGCAGCCCAGACAGTTCTTCATTGGAGTGCTGGATATCGCTGGGTTTGAGATCTTTGATGTGAGCATTTCAAAAATGTGAGACTGGATTTAAAGATAAATATGATTTTTTTTCATGATATGAATTAGCTTTCTGTTACTACAGTTCAACAGCTTGGAGCAACTCTGTATCAACTTCACCAATGAGAAACTGCAACAGTTTTTCAACCACCACATGTTTGTCCTGGAACAAGAGGAGTACAAGAAAGAGGGCATTCAATGGGAGTTCATTGACTTTGGTATGGACTTGGCTGCCTGCATTGAGCTTATTGAGAAGGTAAGACCATTCAGATGTGCCGTTCAGGACTAAAATGGCAGTTTCTGACTAGGTACTAAAATACAGATTTTTCCTGAATACAACTTCTCTTTTCAGCCAATGGGCATCTTCTCCATTCTTGAAGAGGAGTGCATGTTCCCCAAGGCTACAGACACTTCTTTCAAGAACAAGCTGTATGATCAGCATCTTGGCAAGAGCAAGGCATTTGAGAAGCCAAAGCCTGCAAAGGGTAAAGCAGAAGCACACTTCGCCCTGGTTCACTATGCTGGTACAGTGGACTACAATATCAATGGCTGGCTGGACAAGAACAAGGACCCACTGAATGATTCAGTTGTGCAGCTCTACCAGAAGTCATCAAACAAACTGCTGTGCTTCCTGTATGCAGCCCATGCTGGAGCTGATGGTAGGAAATAAATAATGTAAAAAAAATACAGGGCAGCTGTGGCTACAACTGTAGCTTGCCTCCACCAGTGTGTGAATGTGAGAGTGAATGAATAGTGGCATTGTAAAAGCGCTTTGGGTGCCTTGAAAAGCGCTATATAAATCCAATCCATTATTATTATTATTATTATTATTATTATGACCATTTGTGAATACTCATTAAATATGTTTCCTCTAGGAAATGAAGTTGAATCAGTGATCACACAATTATTGTTTTCATTGAAAATATGGTTTAAAATTAAATTATTGTAAAACACTCACTATAGCATTAGTTATTCAGTTCTCTTAATTAAGTGTATTGAACAACAGATGCTGCTGGTGGCGGCAAGAAGGGTGGTGGAAAGAAGAAGGGTGGTTCTTTCCAGACAGTGTCTGCTCTTTTCAGGGTATTTTGAACCGCCACAAAAAAAATATATTCAAAATGTATTGGTTTATTTTAACCTATTATCTAATGATGTTGATCTACAGGAGAATCTGGCCAAGCTGATGACCAACTTAAGGAGCACTCATCCTCACTTTGTTCGTTGCCTGATTCCCAATGAGTCAAAGACCCCAGGTATAAAGCACACAGTCATACTGATTTTAAAAAATGTTAAAAGTGACATATTGAAATGATTTAAACTATATGAATTTTTAACTTTCAGGTCTTATGGAAAATCATTTGGTCATCCATCAGCTGAGGTGTAATGGTGTCCTGGAGGGCATCAGAATCTGCAGAAAGGGTTTCCCCAGCAGAATCCTCTATGGTGACTTCAAGCAGAGGTGACTTCTGTTTTCTTTATAAGAAAGTTAAAATAACTTCAAAGGTACTGGAAAAGGGAAAACACAAGGACAATGGGTGCAAAATCCAAGTAACATCACTATATTTTCTTACAGATACAAAGTGTTGAATGCCAGTGTCATCCCTGAGGGACAGTTCATCGACAACAAGAAAGCTTCAGAGAAGCTGCTTGGCTCCATTGATGTGGATCACACACAGTACAAGTTTGGGCACACGAAGGTACACTTTATGATGACCTTTACAACCTCCAGTTGTATTAAACAGAACTAATTCATGTGAACTAATTTGTTTCACTTCAACACAGGTGTTCTTCAAAGCTGGTCTGCTGGGCACTCTTGAGGAGATGAGAGATGAGAAACTGGCTGAGCTGGTGACCATGACTCAGGCTCTCTGCAGAGGATACGTCATGAGGAAAGAGTTTGTGAAGATGATGGAGAGAAGGTATAATTCAGAAACAATATGTCAAATTACTATTTAAATATCATGTGATGTTACGCAAAAGCAGTATGTCAAAGCATGGTAATTTGCGTTGTTTTTGTAGAGATGCTATCTTCAGCATCCAGTACAACATCCGTTCATTCATGAATGTCAAGAACTGGCCATGGATGCATCTGTACTTTAAGATCAAGCCTCTTCTAAAGAGTGCTGAGACTGAGAAGGAGTTGCAGAACATGAAGGAGAACTATGAGAAGATGCAGACAGACCTGGCTACTGCTCTGGCAAAGAAAAAAGAACTGGAAGAGAAGATGGTCGGCCTGCTGCAGGAGAAGAATGACCTGCAACTTCAAGTAGCAGCTGTGAGTAACAAGGGGGAGGAGAAAATGCATCTTCTATTATAATAATGCTCAATTAGCTGAAAAATAACCACATATTAGTCTATTTATCAGTATGACTTTTTGGCTGGTGTTTGGCTGTGAGATGTGCTGTAACTGAGAACTGTGCTGAATTGCTGTAATTAAAAACATGATAATATTCTTTATTTATAAAAGTATGATAATAATTATTCTTCTTATACTATAATATAATAATATAATTCCCATATTTCTTGCCTTGTCACAGGAAAATGAGAATCTCTCTGATGCTGAAGAAAGGTGTGAGGGGCTCATTAAGAGCAAGATCCAGCTCGAGGCCAAACTCAAAGAGACAAGTGAGAGACTGGAGGATGAAGAGGAAATCAATGCTGAGCTGACTGCTAAGAAGAGGAAGCTGGAGGATGAATGCTCTGAGCTAAAGAAGGACATTGATGACTTGGAGCTCACCTTGGCCAAAGTGGAGAAGGAGAAACATGCCACAGAAAACAAGGTTCAGTTCATGTGATTGTAGTTTTCACCAAAATACATACACATAATGTGTTTATATGCTGTAATGTCTTATTTTGCCATGTTAATTTATTAACTTTCATGGGAAATTCCCATGAAATTCCCAATTATTATTTATTTCAGGTGAAAAACCTGACAGAGGAGATGGCATCTCAAGATGAGTCAATTGCCAAGTTAACCAAGGAGAAGAAAGCCTTACAAGAGGCCCATCAACAAACACTGGATGATCTCCAGGCAGAGGAAGACAAAGTCAACACTCTGACCAAAGCCAAGACAAAACTGGAACAGCAAGTTGATGATGTAAGAAAACATCATCTTTTTAAAAAAGGAGATTTCTTATTTTTATATTATTATGAATTATTCAGTTGTAAAAAATATGTAACATTTTTAATAGCTTGAGGGTTCACTGGAGCAAGAGAAGAAGCTCCGCATGGACCTTGAGAGAGCCAAGAGGAAGCTGGAGGGAGATCTGAAACTGGCCCAGGAATCCATAATGGATCTGGAGAATGACAAGCAGCAGTCTGATGAGAAAATCAAAAAGTAAAAAACAGTCACTGATAAAGTTCCTACACTTGCATTCAGAAGAGCCACAGAGCTGTCAGAGTCATTTCTTTGTCTTCTCCATTTACAGGAAGGACTTTGAAATCAGTCAGCTTCTTGGCAAGATTGAGGATGAGCAGTCTCTTGGTACTCAGCTTCAGAAGAAGATCAAAGAACTCCAGGTACCATTATTTTAGGTGAATATTATGTTCAGTAAAACTAAAACATGTCAACTCAATAAGTCTTTGTGGTGTTATTACCCTAAAGGCTCGTATTGAAGAGCTGGAAGAGGAGATTGAGGCTGAGAGGGCAGCTCGGGCTAAGGTAGAGAAGCAGAGAGCCGACCTCTCCAGGGAGCTTGAAGAGATCAGTGAGAGGCTTGAGGAAGCTGGTGGAGCAACAGCTGCTCAGATTGAGATGAACAAGAAGCGAGAGGCTGAGTTCCAGAAACTGCGTCGTGATCTTGAAGAAGCAACTCTGCAGCATGAAGCTACTGCAGCAGCTCTCCGTAAGAAGCAGGCTGACACTGTTGCAGAGCTCGGAGAGCAGATCGACAACCTCCAGCGTGTCAAACAGAAGCTGGAGAAAGAGAAGAGCGAGTACAAGATGGAGATTGATGACCTCTCCAGCAACATGGAGGCTGTTGCCAAAGCAAAGGTGTGCAATTTTGAAAAAAAGCAGCTATCTAAACAATGAAAGAGCGCAACAGTTATATCTTTCCTGGATTTGAGTCATGACAATTATGTGCAATTTATAGGGCAATCTGGAGAAAATGTGCCGAACTCTTGAAGACCAGTTAAGTGAGCTCAAGTCCAAAAATGATGAGAATGTTCGCCAGCTTAACGACATGAGTGCACAGAGGGCAAGACTCCAAACTGAGAATGGTGTGTATCCAAAGATATGAAGTATGTAACTGTATTTCATTTAGTAGCCGTTTTAAGTTCAGAAACAATTTAAGTTTCAAACAGATGATATTGTTTGTGTTTAAAATACATGGTAATTTTTCAGTTATGAAAAGTATTTTTCTTTAATCTGTTTTGCCCAGGTGAATTTTCTCGTCAGCTTGAGGAAAAGGAAGCTCTTATTTCCCAGCTTACCAGAGGCAAACAGGCTTACACTCAACAGATTGAAGAGCTTAAGCGACATACTGAGGAGGAAGTGAAGGTACCAGATGTCATATTAAAGAAGTATTATATTCAGCATTACATACATTGTAAAAGAACATTGATGAACCATGGATCTGCAAGTGAAAACAAGAATAAATGTAAATAAATAAAAGTTACTTAATGTCAACTTATCTCACAACCAATATCTCAGATTTAGAATAACTTTACATTACTTTGTCAACATGCTCACTGAGAGATAAAAGAAAAGCAAAGACATTTATTATTATTTAAAATGTATTATTATTAAAATCCAGGCCAAGAACGCCCTGGCTCATGCTGTTCAGTCAGCACGTCATGACTGTGATCTGCTCAGAGAGCAGTTTGAGGAGGAGCAGGAGGCCAAGGCTGAGCTGCAGCGAGGAATGTCCAAGGCCAACAGTGAGGTGGCTCAGTGGCGATCCAAATATGAGACTGATGCCATCCAGCGCACTGAGGAGCTGGAGGAGGCCAAGTACATAAATGCTTTCTTCTCTTTTGTGAATAAAAATGTAATACTGTATTACTTTTAATACATAATGGAATTAATACAAGCAAATTTTTGCAAATTGCAGGAAAAAGCTTGCCCAGCGCCTGCAGGAGGCTGAGGAATCCATTGAGGCTGTGAACTCCAAGTGTGCCTCACTGGAGAAGACCAAGCAGAGGCTGCAGGGTGAGGTGGAGGACCTCATGATTGATGTGGAGAGAGCTAATGCTCTGGCTGCCAACCTTGACAAGAAGCAGAGGAACTTTGATAAAGTAAAGTTTAAACATAACCTCTGTCATCAAAGGAGAAATTACACCCATTACAACAACTAATTATTTAATTAATTAATTTTTAATTAATCTAGGTCCTGGCAGAATGGAAGCAGAAGTATGAGGAGAGCCAGGCAGAGCTGGAAGGAGCCCAAAAGGAGGCTCGTTCTCTCAGCACTGAGTTGTTCAAGATGAAGAACTCATATGAAGAGGCTCTGGATCATCTTGAGACCATGAAGAGAGAGAACAAGAACCTGCAGCGTATGCACCCATAACTTGACAAAAAATGTTAAAGAATATAGATCTGGATCTAAGATAATAACAACAGTTTGGGTCGTTTTTCTACTTTAGAGGAGATCTCAGATCTGACTGAGCAGATTGGTGAGACTGGAAAGAGCATCCATGAGCTGGAAAAAGCCAAGAAGACTGTAGAAAGTGAAAAGGCTGAGATTCAGACTGCCCTTGAAGAAGCAGAGGTTTAATATTTTTTATGTCAATATTATTTATTTTGATGATTCTACTTGGTATTTGTTACTTATCTGACTTATCTCGCAGGGCACTCTGGAACATGAAGAATCCAAGATTCTTCGTATTCAGCTTGAGCTAAACCAAGTCAAAAGTGAGATCGACAGGAAGCTGGCAGAGAAGGACGAGGAGATGGAGCAGATCAAGAGGAACAGCCAGAGGGTGATTGACTCCATGCAGAGCACCCTTGATGCTGAGGTCAGGAGCAGGAATGATGCCCTGAGAGTCAAGAAGAAGATGGAGGGAGACCTGAATGAGATGGAGATTCAGCTGAGCCATGCCAACAGACAGGCTGCTGAGGCCCAGAAACAACTGAGGAATGTCCAAGGACAGCTCAAGGTGACCTTTTTTCCATATCATTAGTTAAAGAAACAGAATAAGTACTTATTTATTGATTGATTTATTTCATCAGGATGCCCAGCTGCACCTTGATGAAGCTCTCAGAGGACAGGAAGACATGAAGGAGCAGGTCGCCATGGTTGAGCGCAGAAATGGTCTGATGGTGGCTGAGATTGAGGAGCTGAGAGCCGCTCTGGAGCAGACAGAGAGAGGACGCAAAGTAGCTGAGCAGGAGTTGGTTGATGCTAGCGAGCGTGTTGGACTGCTTCACTCTCAGGTTTGTTTATAATGTCAAGAAACATTTATGTAATTTTAATTAGGAAATACATTATAAATTTACTGTAAATATCTAGTATGTGAACTTACAACATATTTATATCATATAATCTTTCCTAAACCTTTAGAACACCAGTCTTCTGAACACGAAAAAGAAGCTCGAAGCCGATTTTGTGCAGATCCAGAGTGAGGTGGATGATGCTGTGCAGGAAGCAAGAAATGCTGAGGAGAAAGCAAAAAAAGCCATCACTGACGTGAGTTTAAATCTCTAAGTAATCTGTTCTATTAAACACTTCACTTCCTTTCAGTGATAATAAAAGCTTACCATAGATTTTTAAATAGATTAATTAAATGGAGAAAATTATTTTAGGCTGCCATGATGGCTGAGGAGCTGAAGAAGGAGCAGGACACCAGTGCTCACCTGGAGAGGATGAAGAAGAACCTGGAGGTCACAGTCAAGGACCTGCAGCACCGTCTGGATGAGGCAGAGAACCTCGCCATGAAGGGTGGCAAGAAGCAGCTCCAGAAACTGGAGTCCAGGGTATGAAGTGTATATTGTATGCTTATATACATAAAATATATTTTGATTAAATTATATGAATTTAAGTTTTTCTTTATATTTGAAGCAAAGTTAATTATTTATCATGGCATTAAAGGTCCGTGAACTGGAAGCTGAACTTGAAGCTGAGCAGAGACGTGGTGTTGATGCTGTTAAAGGAGTCCGGAAATATGAGAGGAGAGTGAAGGAGCTCACTTATCAGGTAAGTCTTCTTTTGCCAACAACAAGCAAACGTGCCCTTTGTCTCTTCTCAAATACCTCTTAAGTAACAGCTGTATTTGGTGTAGACTGAGGAAGACAAGAAGAATGTGACCAGACTTCAGGATCTGGTGGACAAGCTGCAGCTCAAAGTCAAGGCTTACAAGAGACAGTCTGAGGAGGCTGTAAGTCAACTACAATTATATGCCAAATCTGCTTCAGCTTGGTTCATAGCACGCCCATTGACTCCCCTATAACTAAGTCAGTATTTTTGTAAATCCTTTACAGGAGGAGCAGGCAAACACTCACATGTCCAGGCTCAGGAAGGTCCAGCATGAGCTGGAGGAAGCTCAGGAGCGTGCTGACATTGCTGAGTCCCAGGTCAACAAGTTGAGAGCCAAGAGCCGTGATGTCGGAAAGGTGGTATTTCATTTGCAATACTTTTTGTTATTGCATTTCTACTGCAGTATATCCCTATAAGCATTAACTCTATGGTCTGTATCTCTCTCTTGCTTTCAGGGAAGTGACTCGGCTGAATAGGAAATGCAATCTAGTTGCAGCATTTGAGAGTTCATACAATATGAACAACTTTCTCTGTAAATCCTCAATAAATGGTGAAAATTTCCAAAGTATTATGTTTTCTTTTTATTGCTTAGCATGTTCTACTTCATATGGTCATGTTTTCAGCTCTGTGGGTGGAGTAGACGACCCATATGCTCCAATGCTAAATGCAGATGTCAAAGTTCAGAATTCAGACCAAAGGAAATGATTCCCCATTTATTGCTGTTGGTTTTTTTTATCATGTTTGTTTTGGTTTGGTTTTTGTCACATCTTCACAGAGTTTAACAGACCAAAGGTTTTAATTCAAGATTACAATTATAATTGACACAAAGAATAAAATTCCTTACAGTGTATTTACATTTAGAAAATTTGCAAAACTGAAAACAACAGACACAATATGTACTGTAAATTTAGCTAGCAAAGGACTATCCTTCAAATGACCCTATAAAGCAGAATCAACATAATTTCTAATAAGAGCTTTGAGCAATACAAATACAATTTTTTTGCTACTTTTTTTTTTTACATTTAAATCCCATAATTTACAAGTACATTATTTGCCACTCTTCTTCATGTCTTTCTTTACAGCGCCCTTTCCTTTTCCATGCTGTGCCTTTTCCCTCACCTTTCCAAGTTCTCCTTTCCCCTTTTGTCCTTCTTGAGCCATTCCTTTCTCCAGGTGAGTCTTTTCAGTTGGGGAGAAGGAGTTTACATCTGCACTGTTGTGGCTGGTCACAAGCTTCCCCTGTTCATGTGAGCATGTAGGATGTGTTTTACCAGTCGCACCTTTGTTGGGAGATGGCGGCCTGGAGTTGTTTTTTCTGGGACTGGAATGGCTTGGAGAGCGATGCCTGAACTTAACATCTTCCTTCATAACAAGGTTTAAGTCAAAGGACAAGGGTCTGCCACATACTGGACTCAGAGGTATCACAAGGTTGTCCCCTGGGGCTCCAAGAGTTAGATAGACATCTGGAAATGCATCTGGCTCATTGGCATTCTTCTGTTCATTTTCCAGAGAAGAAAAGAGTAGTACTGAAGGCACGTCTTTTATTATGGCAGTACCTTTGGGTAATAAGTTATCTTACAACTTACCTCCTGAGGTGTGAAGCTCACAGATACACTCACTGTTACCTGTAACATGTCACAAGTCACTGAACTCAAACAGTGTTACAGAATCTCTTATCAGCTTTTTTTGTTTTGTTCTGTTTTTTTCATTTACTGGGATATCAGCCTTTGTGTTTCTAATTCAGGAGGCTTTCAAAAAGGAGAATCTGTTTGTCCCATACAGAAACATATAATATTTTAGAGAATAAAAATACTGGTAATTTGTTATACTCTACTAATGTGTGTTTACTTGTTATATATTTGTCTACAAACTTGAATGTACTGAAAAATGGAAAAATGAAGAATTTACCTTAGCTGGGAAATTAGACTTCTTCTTAAATTCTCCCTTGGGAATAAGTGAAGCAGATTTGGGTAAGGCCTCAGTGGAAGCAGGCTTTCCATATGCCATTTGAGGTTGTGAGGCAGGTGTAGGACACTTTTTTGAAGTTGTAGGTGTACATTTAGCCACTGTGATCTGTGGTAGTGGAGAGACCTTACAGAACAGAAATGATGAGAGACCGTTAAACTGGCAAGTGTTTTGCAGAAAAACAAATGATCAGTTGCAATTTATTAAAATATAATCAGCAGTAGAATGGTGGAAAAACACTCTTAATTGAGGTTTTTGACAGAGTGGCAACTACATTTAGAGCCATGAAAGAAATTTTGGTCATGGTTGTGTAGTTACAGTACTGTAGACAAGCCAAAGGTTACGAGAGATAGCCTAAGGTCTACATAATGGTCATTTACAGTTAAATTTAATGGTTGGATATGATGGGTCTCTAAGTATGACAAACTGAGAGAGAGAGAGACATGGTGTCCTGCATGCACTTAACTTGCATAGAGTTAAAAGAATATATATATAACCACATTTATTACACTTTTCTTAATTTTCACAGTACCAATAGTTTAGATGTTGTGTAACTTACTGGGATTTCAGCTGTTGTATGTCGTTGTATGTCTACTTTTCCTTCAGAATTTCCACTTATCCCTGGCAAGGTAGGAAGTGCAACACGCTGATTATCTAGTCGTCGTGACTGACTGGAGGTGATGATTTTGAAGAACGCCTCTGCTTCTGCGCCTGAAATAATTATTCTTGACATTTCAGAGACAAAATACTCATATTCAAGTGCACTGTGCATTTTTCTGACCTATGGGTACTTTATTCAAAGCACTGCCATTGTGTGTAGGTGAGGAAGGTGTGCTTCTGCTGGGTTGTAAAAAGCAGCGTTGCTCTTCCATGCGACCACTTTGTATTCGACTTATCATTTTAAGGAACTGCTCCTCCTCAGCTGCGGATATTCCCTAAATTTTTTTACAGAAAGATATGTCATAAGAAATGGGACAACTCTCAAAAAGACATAGCAAACAGAGGCTGCCATTAAGCAATCAATACAGCTATGTTATTTCTTTAAAAGACTAGATAATAAAAGTTCTAGTCAATCACTATATAGTTTTTGTGGCTTGCTTAAGAAATATAAAATTACAGGGCAGAAAAAGTATAGGTAAAACAATGTTGAGTGATATGTGGTATGAACATTGACCTGCCCACGCTGTTCAGTTTTGTCACGGTTTAATGAGGCAGACCTCCAAGGAGGTTTATCAGATGTGCGCTGAGCTGATGGAGTACCCAGATTCTGGAAGATGTGGGGTGCAGAACATCTCTGTTCATCCATCCTTGAGCCCTGTGGGTAAAAAGTTTGATTGAAGCAAAACTGATAAATCTATATGTGCAAAAACTTCGTGGATACTTAACAAAGAAACAAAAGCTGTGAATAACTTTTCGCAATGTTACATATAGGGCCAACCTGGACTTTGGAAACCAGATAACACAAGTAGCTTGCATCCGTCTCAGCAGCAGTGGGTGTTAATGTGGTACCTCCATTCTGTATTCCAGGTAATGAAGGAAGGGACACTCTCTGGTCGTCCAGCCGTCGGCCCTGTGAGTTGGCCAGTAAGCTGAAGAAATTATCAGAATCTGGGCATTGGATGTTAGAGAAAAATAAAATATTTGTTAGCTTCATTGAGAAATGTATGCGCTGTTATATATCAATGTACAAAACAACTGAGTTTTCATTTAGAAAAAATATCAAATGCAAAAAAAAAACCAAAGGGAAAATTTTCTGTTTTCTGACCTTGGGGGATTTCACTTTGACTGAAATGGTGCTTAGGTGTGGACTGGGGTGTAGCATTTAGGACACATCGCTGTTCATCCATCCGGCCATGGTGGGAATTACTAATTAAGGTAAAAAGATCTTCCTGTTCAGCTGGAGTCAAGAACTAGATGGGATAATGTGAATTTTGTTAAGTGAATGAATAATACAAAAATATAACACATGCAAAAAGAAATGGGGTGATCTAAAACCTCATTGTTTAGTGTCGATGCTGTTTACAATTTCTTTTGGGGGGCTAAAACTGAAAGCGCGGAGATACCTGTTTTTGAGGATTTTTATCCTCACTTTTTAGTTGCTTTATGATGTCTGAACTGGAGCTGAAGGAGGCTGAGCGTAATGGGTTTAAACCAGATTCAGACTGATCCTTGTTTGATGAACACGGTGTCTCTGGGGGTAGGATTTGAGGTAATGAACACCTTTGATCATCCATTCTGGAGCCCTGAAAATAGATTAGGTCAGCATTTTTGATCAATAGGTTGACTATAAATACATAAAATAATGTGGTTATTAAACTCTTAACTAAAAAGCTACACTTGTAGCTAACCCTAACCCATTCCTGTTAAAACAGACTCAAAGCAGTTACTACCATCATTTCAAGCAGTCAAGTTCCGTGCAGCATTTTGATACTTTGTATTAAAAGAGAACAAAGAAAATTCCTTACTTGAACTTTAGAGACCATGTAACACAAGTAGCTTGAATCTCCCATAGCAGTGTCCTTTTCATTTTGTAAGCCTGGTAATGATGGAAGCGACACTCGCTGGTCATCGAGCCGTCGGCTCTGAGTGTCGGCCAACAGATTGAAGAACATTTCAGGATCTGTCACTGGTCAAATACAGCAAATTTTCAATATAAATATTTAATCTGTCAGAACCTGAAACAGTCAGGTTCATAAAGGAAGTTTAAAATGATGAATGCAATTTATTAAAATGGCAAGAAATTATTGAATTTTCAGCCATGTTTAACATACTTGCAACAGTTTTTTTCTCTGTGTATCTGGGTGTGCAAGGAGCACTCTTGCTAGGATCCAATGAGCAGCACTGGTCCTCCGTGCGTCCACGCTGTCCATAGGTAATCATCTCCATGAACTTTTGCTGTTCAGCAGATGATTCTGACTTTTTGGGTTAAAACAGCATGATAAAGCTTCAATGAATGGGGTGATGTATATGTGATAACAATTATTAAACAAGTCAACATCAACAAATCTAATTGTTACAGCTATCAGAATAACACTGTTATAACTTGTTAACACATTAACAGACCTTTATAGAATTTGAGCGTTCACGTTGAGAAGGAATCTGTAATTGGTCAACTGGAACTGACAGATGCTTCCTGTTTCTATCTGAAGTACTCTCAGTCACTGAGATATGAGGTGCAGAGACATGATGATCATTACGTCCACTTTCCTGAGAAAACAGGTAATAATTGAGAGCTGATGTAATTTAATCATCAGTTTTACTTGTACAGTGTATCCCTCATCATATTATAGTCATAAGTCTAGTACTTGGTAATTAAATCCAGGCAACGATAAATGCGAGTTGACATATTGTCCCTGTTTATTATCTGAAGTATGGGATGATCTCTCATCTTTTGACCCTGTGGGAAGCAAGAATGAAACAATCAATAATCAGGCCAAAAAAGGGAGATGTATACTGTACTGTGGTATTTTCACTATTCCAACCTGCAGATGTCGTCTCTATTTTAGCAGGACTTAGAGTGCAACACTGTCCGTCCATTCGTCCACGCTGTGAGTAACTCATTATGTCCAGAATCTGCTCTAGTTCTGGGGATTCC